CCAACATCTCCTTTTCGGGTGTGGGGTTTGCCAGTTTTTTGTTGGGGTTTGTGGCTTGCCAACCAAGCCCACTGAGTTTGTGTTCGAGTTTGCCTACCAGCATGTCCTTTCATGTTTGCAGATTGCAGCCAAACTCATTGGGGGTTTGGGTTTGCCGACCAACATCTCCTTTTCGGGTGTGGGGTTTGCCAGTTTTTTGTTGGGGTTCGGGGTTTGTCAACCAAGGTTAAATTGAGGTTTGAGGTTTGCCATGGTTAGTCGGTTAAGCAATGTAAAAACTCATCCGACTGCGCATCCCGGCTTGCCAGGCGCCTGCGTTGCATCGGCTGCTAACATACCCGGAGCTGCATCTTGGCACGGCAAAGCCCGATTTCCACAGGTATGGAGAGATGGTTCGAGAAGTTGTTCACCAGTTTGGTCATTGGTTCGATGCACGAAAGTGTGCTCACCAGAATGCATGGTTTCTGGGAAGCTCAGGAAGAAGTACATCACCGGAGGTAAGGGAGCAGCGGCCTCAGGCGACGAAGCACTGCAACAGTTCTTGTGGCTCTGCCCCATTCTCGAGGTGGGCTCCCAGGGCGATGGCTCTGCACAGCTTGTATGCCGGTCGAAGGCTGACCAGGCAGGATCCTGGATGAGTGGATTCTGTCCTGTTGAGGACTTTGGTATTGCTAGATTTGGAGGCTGTCGGAAAGATTGCCTCTGCGAGCCTGCCAAAGACTAGATCTAATTCCTCACCTTGCCCACCCAAACCTCAGGAGGAGGTGGTGAGGATTGTAAAGTCCTTGGGCATGGAGCCCCTGGAGCTCACCATCCCCGAGCCCGAGCCTTGGTCTGGCGGGTTCCCAGACAGAGCCAAGAGGCAGCGAGTCGTATGATTCGATGGCTCCCTGTTTTCATCTTCGATCTTTTTAAATCTCTTGAGCACGTGGATGTTGTTGACAGGCTGGATGGATTGATGATGATGGTGGTGGTGGTGCTGCTGCTGTTGATGGTGATGATGCCTTTCCGCTCTATCCGTTACCTTGCCGCACTTTGGCCTGGTGTCAGTCTTGAACAGTGGCTTTACACCATGTGTCAGCACTTGCCCTCCACCGCTATTGTCTGTGTCTTTGTGTCTTGCAGTGCATGTGGAAGCCTTCTCTTGGAAAGCGCAAGCATCACCAAATGCCAGCCTTACTCCCTCAACCCCCGTGTGCAACCTGAACCGACAAACAAACTCAAGCGGTGTTTCCCTGTGTTCCAACAGTGTCCTGAAAGGCACTCTCAATTCTTCGCAAATGGCCCTCCAAACCCGAGCATCTCCGACACATTCGCCGTTTGACACACTGAGGAGTAGTTTGTGCTGTCTAGCAGACTCGGATGCTGAGTGCTGCGAGGCAGAAGGCAGTTCGCACAGCGATTGTTCCAATCGCAGGCGCACCTGTGCTGCGTCATTCAGTTGTCAGGAAGGATACGCTCAACCCAATCAGGTGCGATAAGCCTCACAAGCTGGCTCTGTTCGTCTGGCTTGTGTACTGGCATCAGAGTGCTTCAACATGGCATGAACTAGCGGCAACTAGCGCGGGCTGGAGGGCTCAGCAGAATGAACGTACAACAGCCCCACATCCAGCAGCGCAGTGCGAGACACTAGCAGACCGCCCACCATATTCAGAACTGTTGCGTGGCACTACGTTATGTTGTCTTACTGGGAATATTTAAGCTTTCTAGGCCTCGACCTGTCAGGTGCCTGCCCTGGCATCTGGCCCGCTACGAAGTGCGTCGGGCCGTGGCTGGTCGACATGAGGGGAACGACGGGGTCCTGACAGTGGGATTAGCGGTCAACGCAGGTCTATTCGTAAGAACGTATCATGGCACAATGCGAATCGACCATGCATGATGCGGAAACGCACCAGCAAGCGCTACATTGGAGTTGGGGATACGGCAAAAACACACCAGACAAACGAAATTGACAAGCAGTTGTATAATGTACTTGGAGATATGGTATCATGATGAGAAAGAGTTGCTATGCCACAACAACGACCGCAAGCTTGGAACGACAAGAATCTGTCTCACCTTCAGGTGGCTTTTTCCAGTTCGCAGCCGGGGGCTGGTGAAACCAGCCATCGCATGGCACCTTGGCAGCAATGTCGCGAGTAGTAACGTGAAATCTTGCGTTGGCTGTCCTACAGTGATCGAGTGTCCAAGGCTTTGCGAAGAGATGTCTGCTGCCGGCATTGCAGCTGGGAAAGGATTTGGGCCCCCGCGAGTCCGCAGGTATGTGCTGCATTTCAAAGTGCATGGCCTTGCAGCCTCACTTATAGATGGTAGCCACACCACCCAGTCGTATGTGTGCCTAGGAAAAGATCCTGCTGGTGGTAAACCACACAACCGAAGTGGAGATGACAAAGCTCTTCAAGCAGCGCGAGGAGGCTGGACGACACGGTCCTAACTCTTCATTTTGTCGGCAGGTTGACTTGGAGTCCGGCACTGTCGATGCGCTGCCAGATAAACTCTAGATGACAAAGTCGTGCGAGGTGTCTGTGCTGAACGGAGTGGGGATGCAGATGGAGGATGCCAGAAAGGATCCTGGCATGTCGTCTTAAGCAGATCCTCTTGCCCTTGAGGACTACGACGAGGTGCTCCTGGCCATAGGCCAGACCTGTTGTGCCTGTCGCATGGCAAGGAAGGACGTTCTGCACACTTTTTTCATGTGAGAAAACAACATGAGTACCAACTGGACCTCGCAGGCAAAAAGATTTCGTTCGTGCGCCAGGTGGGGATGCTGGCAAGGAAGGTCTTCATAACTTCCGGCAAGAAGGTTGCCAGGTTTGGGTGAATGGAGGCATTAGAACTACAGTATGATGATAATTTCGTAGTAGCTGCAGAGATGGAAGGAGAAGCCCTCCAGCATTCGTGACGCGCTGCTCCTTTGCGAGCGCGAGGCCTGTCGTGCTCTGGGTGACGTTTAAGGGAATCCCCTCAGCAGCACGCTCATTGGCAGAATTGCAATGAGATAAGCAGCTCCATTCGAACATGCTGGGTCGTGGTGTCAGACGGGCCCAAGTGAGTGCGGAGGTGGGCACCAAGACTATTAGCTTTGTGCGTTTCTAAGCCATTTTCAAGCTTAGAAACTCCCCTTGATCCTTGCTTTGCCCCGACCTGGGTGAAAGTGTCAGCGGCACCTGTGAGGTTGCAGAAGAAAGTGTCGGTGTGACTTAGTAATGCAGGTTGCAGCAGGTAGTTGGAGTTCAGCAGCAGAAGCAGTTTCAACGTGTAGTGGGAAGTTGTGGTCGGGCTAGGTCGCCGGCGAGCCCTTCCTCCTTGCCTGGGGTGACCATTTCAGTCGGTCGACATCGTCCGCTTGGCTCTGAGACTTCCGAGGTGTGAACAGCGGATCGATGTGCATGGTCCACGGAGGCACTGATCCCTTTTGTCCTTAGGATCATCGCAGCGTGGTTGCGCAGCTCTTGGAGGCCTTCAATGGGCGGCCTCTAGCCTGGGACTCGGCCTCCGCAAGCACTGCGTCCGAGAATCTGCGAGCGCGTGCTTTCTAGAGGCTGCCATGCACTGCGTGGACAAGGACTCGTCGCCATCCGAGCATTCAGTGAATTGATGGCACTGGTCACTATGCCGCGCCTTCGTAGCTCCTGAGGCTCCATCAGACCGGCGTTTACACATGCAAGGAGCCCGAAGTTGCAGTGGGCAGCGCTTGCTGTATCGACGTGTCTGAAAGGAGCCCCCATCGCCGCTGCCCCCGCCGCTTGGTCCAAAGACGCCTGGGCCGGTGAAGGCGCTGTGGCCGCGGCTCGGAAGAAGTTTGGTTTCGTGGGGGTCCGGATGCGCCTCCAGTCGCGCACCCACAATTGTCCTTCCCCAGCCATCAACGGCCAGAACAATGGATTGCAGAGGCTACAATAGCCAGCATTAACGATCTATGTGCTAATGCAATTTTTGTCACGTCTTCGGAAGCACTAAGAACTCGTGGTTCTCGTCGGGTCGCCTGCGAAAACCACATAATTCCAGACGTACGTTCGCTGAGTGTCGTCACAAGCATGGTCACAGTATTTATCATATTCCGTTCTTATGCCTCAAACTAGGTTTTCTGTTTGTACGACGTATTTGTTGAAAACCCCAGATTCCTTAACTAAACGAACCATGCCTTGGATATTCTAGGTTCCATATTTACCTTCGGCATTTACACAAGACTTCGATCATGTAACCTGGTGTGCAAGAAAGAATTCAACAACAGCAGACGTTTCTTAGATGGGTTAATCCACTGGACCATGCGCGTCTTCACGCCGTCTTGCCTTGCGGCAGTTACAGTCAATTGCAATCGGGTTAAATTCACACCCCAATTTGTAATGCTTTTCCCTAAGCCTTAGTGGCGTAGATTCCTCAAATTCCACAAAGTCATACAGCATGTGCGGGACTGGCCTTTTATCTGATCACCCTAATTCCCTACATTGCCCAATCCTATACACCATGCGTGGAAATCCTTGAATTATTCCTACCCCCCATGTTGAGGATTTTAGGATTCTGAGTTCCCTGAATTCCCTCAATTCCTTCAATGTCGTAATTCCGTGGGCAATCTCTAAATCCAGGACATGGCGGTAGGAATCAGGGAAGCTAGGGAATTTCAGGAACTTCGGGAGTTTGCTGCGCAAGGTTGGTCCTTGGTGGGGGATGGGGCAGGAACATATGTATATATATATATATATACACACGTAATTTACATACATACAAACATACATACATACTTCTACACACATCTATATATATATATATGCACACACTCTAGTATGTGTATGTATGCATGCATGAAAGCATACTGCATGAGTGCATGAATGACCGAATGTACGTTTGGGTGAATGAATGCATGAATGAAGGAAGGAATGCATGAATGCATGTATGCATGTATGCACGTAGAACGTAGGAATGAATGAATGAAAGTATGCATGCATGCATGGATGGATGCATGTATGTATGCATGTATGCATGCAAAAACTGTACGCTTGCATGTATGCATGCATGGACGTATATATGTATGTATGTATGTATGTATGTATGTATGTATGTATGTATGTGTGTATGTATGTATGTATGTATGTATGTATGTATGTATGTATGTATGTACATGCGTATGTATGTGTGTATGTATGT